TGTTTATTTGCGTAAAATAAATGGTTTACAGTCACCATAGAAACGAGTAGACCAGTTTTATTTCGTCACGTGTAGAAATGATCGAATTGGCATATTTTTTCCTCAAAGGTCTATTGATTATTTATTCTCCCGTCATTTCACTGTTTGTAAATGGATAAGAAATAATGTTCCTTAATTCTAATAAATATTGCATTACTTCACGCATTGAATCTGCTTTTCAAAAGACATTATATTTGATTACTTCATCTTTCGCTCATTAACCTTACACCTTAGTTTCTCTCTTTCTCTCACAATTATTAACAATATAAATTAAAACAGCAAACACACCGCATTATTAAAAACATTTTCTGACAGTTAATTAAACAATGCTTCACGTTTTGTGAAATGCTCAACTAGACTTCTAAAAATGCTAACTCTATAAAATTCAACGTCGTCAGTTCTCAAGACAATAACATCGTTACAAAACGTTATTTTAATATCGACATAACGTTTATTATTAATATTATAATAGTGCTATATATAATTGAAGAAAAAATCGGTAAGAAACAAATATGGTAAAAAATTCATTATAACTGCAAACCATATCAGCAGATGCAGCCTTATGAGCAAATACATTGTCAAAATAGCAATAAAAAGACTAAAAAATAAAATTGTCTAATTTACAATTTTTCTCATTCATTTTAAAAATTATGTTAAATTAATTAATTAAAATTATGTAAATTATGTTATTTTTAAAAACGTATTTGGAATAGACTGCTTTTGCTTACAGATTTTATATTGAATTACGTAGCTAAGTACTTATTGATAGGTAGGAATGGTTAAGACTTTTTTGAACAGTTTTTTTTTTTCAACTTTTTGAAATCTATAGTTATATTTAAATCCAATCTACAATCCATTATTTGGTTATTATTCAGATTGTCTTTATGAATTTATATTTAACGTAATATGCCAAAAAGAGAAAAATGAAACTTTTTTTTTAAAAAATGCATAATTTTTCTAACAACAATTATGAAAAGGACGTGCATTTATTAAAAAAAAGAAATTGCAATAGCATTTCACATTTCGGTTTTCAAATCAAAATGAAATAACTGAATTATTTAACTAAGTTTCCATAATAGTCATTCACAATCACATTCTTTTTTTTCATAGCAATATAAAAACAAAATTTTCAGTTATGCTAAATTCGTCTCCAAGACTGCGAATTCAACTGTCGATGAAAAAATTCATCTCTTCTTATTAAACATAAAAAAGTCGAAATTAAATATAAAGTGGTCTTTTAATAGTCAACACAATTGTCATTATTTACATTAAATATGAAGTCGGGTTCCGAAAAGAGAAGCTTTTTTATTTAGGGTTCCGTAATCGAAAAGAAATTGGGAACCGCTGTTTTAGAGCAACAAGTTTCCAAATTGAAACAGTTTTTTGAAAGGAAAAATAAAATAAAGTGCAATATCTTTTAATGTCGTTGACAAAAGTTTATGTTTTTTTAATTTTAATTTTTTTTTTTTATCATTTGTAATGCCCACACGTGTTAACATTTCGTGAATTCGGGTGTTTCACAGAGTAGATTTGTTGGCCACTCTTTTAGGGGCACCCTATTAGGTGGACCAACGTTGCTCCCACTGTAAAATTACCGAGAATGAAAGAACATACACGGGATTCGAACCCATAAACTTTCCTATGAACGGCGAGTTCCCTGATCCCAACACAATCCGGTATAAGAATTAATGTGGATTCGAATATTAAGTCAAGAAGAGAAAAAAGAGGGCGTTCAACAGAAGGCGCGTTCCTTTTGAAGTACGCGGCAGGATTTCTTCATAAAAACTTAGGTTAGGAAGATGATTTAACCTACGGTAAGAGGTGTTAAAATGGTAAGAAGGAGGCGATTTTTTTTTCTCGCCTTTCTATATTGATACCAGAAATAAATAAATCAAAAAATTTCATTTCTGCATTTCTATCAGAGAAATATAAAATCTATATCAATCCTAAATGTTGATTTAGGAAGTACGAGAACAAGATAAATTACAATTAATGCGCATTCAAGGTTAAAAAAGAAAACCATCAAGGTTAATGAATGAGAATATCACCGAAAGTATTCTAGAATTAATATTTATCATAGGTTATACTTTTAATGAGCATGATCTTTCATGACTTACAAATGTGCAAGCATGAGTATTAAAATCTATTTTTTCGTGCTTTAACAGTAGCAGACAATTTTATAGTCTCTTCAAAATCAGTTGTTTTTTCGGTTTCATTTTCATTACTGTTCTAATTTACTTTCAATATATTGTAATTTTGTTAAAAATTATTTTAAAAACGAAAAATTTCGTGTTGCTTGCCGTAAAATTTATTGGTTTATAAGTATTTTTATGCATTTATAAACTCATTCATTGATGCGACACTAAAATGTCCTTCAATGATTCGCCCTTAAACAAATTCGCCGCTATTTATTGTTGACTTGTACTAATCCTCAATTTCACTGATCCATTGATTGGCATCCTTTCATTCCTCATTCTTACTTTATTCACTCGCTGTATCTAAAAATGTTCATGATGACAGTTTTCATGACGAAGCGACAAGCGCATTCGTAATAAATTGTTCATGCAATGTACTACCTTAAAAATAACCGTTTAAAATAAATTAAAAATAGTCTCGTATAAAACACATTGTTAAAAGAATGGACTGTCACCATAGTAATATTAAAATCTAAAATAATTACTTCTATCAAATATTTTTTGGGACTGATTAGATATTTTCTAGTCAGACTAATATTGGTATATAAACTTATAGATAAAAATAAATAAATTGATAAATAAAAATCTACGTGAAACACTAAATGCAACAATAATAAACGTTTAGATAAATCAGATGAATAAAGAAGATATCGAGCCCGTTTTTAGCAAATATTTTTAGAGAAAAAAAGAAATTCTACAGTTTCCCAGAAAAATCTTATTATAATAATTTTAAATACATATCAAAGAACAAAATATGTAAAATATTATAAAAGTGTGTATACGTCTCTTGTTGTTATCTTAAAATTTACTAAAATATTGATCATTATCTTGAAAATTAACCTTTTGGTCTTAATTCTAAAGAGTCCCAATTTCTTAAAAAATCCACCCAGATTTGGATGAAAAGCTTAAATTCAAATTACATTTAGAGACGAAATAGAAGTATTTTCGACATAAAATATTCATATTCGTATCAGCAAATTCACGTTCCATTAAGTATACGTTTAACACACAGGCTCAATTGACGCAAAATGTGACCTCATGGTCATTTTCCAAGGTCACTCCTTCCCCTTTTTTTTCATTTGTATTCACCTTTTGAGCATATTGGCTTGTTTTTTTGGATGACATTAACTCGACAGAAAAGATCCGCTCTGAAAAATACAAAACTCATTCGATTCAATATGTCTAATAAGTGGTTTTTCTGCTGCACACTCTTCTTTCAATCCTTAAAAAAAAATTTACTAAGGGAACTTTAACCATAAAAAAGTTCACTTAAGAAGCAATAATTAATAAAAAAATAACGTATAAATAAATTTTCAAAGCAGACAGTCTATATATATATTTCTCTTACACGGCGACAAAAAAAACCTCATTACAACTCCCCGAATGGCAACGCTAGAAAATAGACCAATGATTGCCGCTAAAAATGTCACATGCCAAATCTAGCTGAGATGGCTCAACATATAGCGCTTTTAAAAACGGAAACTGAAATAACCAGAGAGAGCATAAGCTAGGCAGAAGTGTGTAGTTTTTGTCGATAGATCTCTATTTCAGTATTTTGTCGAAAGCGCTTTTTTTCACGAATTTATATATTACGAATTTATTTGACGATTTTTGATTTATATCACGAATTTATTTGTTTTACTAGAATTTATTTGTTTATGCAGGTTTTTCCATTGCAATTCACTTATTATTTCAATTTTTAATATACTTAATTATAGCCAAAATTTTAACCTTTTTAAAGAGATATCAGTTTTAGAAATTTTATCTTAAGATTTTATACTATAGCACATTTCTAATAGGTTTAACGAATTACATGTCATTTATTTGAATTCAAATTTATTTTAATGACTTAGTATTTACTAAAAAGATGTAATTTTTTTTTAAAAAAAAATTTTTATATGGATTTGAATGATTGTTTTGAATTCTTAGAATTTTGTGCATTTGCAATGTACGTAAGTTAGTAGCGAGCGAAGCAAACCATATAAGATTGCGTAGCAATTTTCGGGAGTTGGCGAGCGTTAGCGAGCAGGGGGCGCAGCCCACTTGTACTTTAAAAAAAGAGGAAATAAATAATTTACAGAACATTGACACTGGGTCTCGTTCGGCACCCCCTTATATGGCGCTCCCACCCCTCGTCCACCCCTTTCTCCGAACCAATTTAGCGATAGAAAATTTATTTTAATTCTATTTAATGATCCTTTAACTACTAACTTCTATAATATTGCAGCATNTCAAAAATACTATATCGCGATACATCGCTATATCGCGATGCAAAACTGACGATGCATCACGATATATAATTTCTAATATCGCCCAGTCCTACCCTTAACTACTAACTTCTATAATATTGCAGCATATATTCTGTTAAAGGATTACCAAAAATCAGCATTTTTTCATCATGCACAAGTAAAAATATAAACTCATACACTAGATTTTTAAACTAATTTATTATTCAATTAAAAACTAATTTATTTGTTTCCCTTGAAACTTAAATATTTTATTGACTATCTTACTAAATTTTCTGAATCATTTCGGCGATGTTATTTATTTCGTAATATTAAATAAAAATAAAGGTCGTATTATTAAGAAATTAAAACCATCTATCAACTCAATATAGTAGAGAAAAATTTATACTCTCTCTGCGCTATTTATAATGGATCTCAAATTCATTCTGAAGTAAACTCATGTCCTCCGGAGAAAAAAAAAACTTTTTAAAATCCAAGCATTAAATTTAGCGGTATTTTCCATCGCCAAAAATGCGCCAAGTTTCCTGACCTGTGACGTCAGAGCGACGCGAAGAACCCGTATATAGAGAGTAGTGACGCCTGACGTCAGTTGTCTTCAGTGCGGTATATGTAATGGAAAAATGGCCTCGCAGGAGAAAGACGATGAGCAGGTTAGTTTTTTTTAAAAAATAAACATTTTTTATAAATTTAGTGTGATTTGCAGAGTTTCGGCACTGATCAGAGCATGAAAAAAAAAATTAAGTTTTCATTCTGTGCCGGAATGCATGCTTGCAATTTTTCCCGTGAGTTTTTTAAGTTCGTAAACCAATATTGGGCAGGGCATCCCCAGGGGTTCTTACAACCCCTCACGATTCTGACGGTGTGGAAAAATAAAATTTGTTTTGGTTTCGGTGTCTGTACCCAATTTTGGTTCACCTCGTCTAATACTAATCTGTTGCTGCTATTCGATTTAATAAATTATCTATAATAATTTTACTATGCCACGATTATTTAATCGGTTTTTTAAAATCGCGTTTTTTTTCCTTTTGGGGGAAATTAGTGGCATCTCCTGGTTATGTAACTTATTTATATAGTTTTTTAAATATTTATCATAGTTATTAAGAAATGTGGATTATTCAAAATTATTATGGCATTAGTTTAAATGGAATTCAATCCATAGAGTCTTAAGTGTCATTCACTCAATGGAGTTAACCGTTAAGCATCATATGAAATTTTGAATTCGTTCGTTTAATTGTTATTTAACACCTCAGTCTTTAGTCATCACGTTCATTTTTAGTTGTTTCAGAGTACTTCCTATTAAAAAATGAAATAATGTTTTATACTAAAACTATTATAATTTTATGAAGTACACATATCTAACGATTTTTGTTCATTTTAATTTAACTATAATTGATTGAAATGATTTAAATGAAAGTCACTTTGAAAATGTAAATAATTTATTCCAGTGAAATAATAAAGCAAAAAGTATGGATTTGTTTTAAAGTTTAATGAAGTTAGATTGAAGGATAATGTTAATTAAACTGAAGTTTTTTTTTTTTCAATTTCATGTTATATTTATCAAATTTCATAAATAATTTAATCTAATTAAAGAATAGAGCAAAAGTTTAATTGTGTGTTTATTACAGATTCTGTTATAGCTAAATATCTAATCTGGTCTATTAAAGCTAAATATATAATCAAGTCTATTGAAGCTAAGTTTTATCTTCAAAAATTTTTTTATAACTATAGATAATTTAATTGAAAAAATAAATAAACAGTTTAATTTTGTGCTGTTCTATTTAGAGATAAAATAATGTAGGATAGCTTGAGCGATAATACAAATGAGAGAAAGAAATTTTTAAATATCAGAAGTATTTTAGATATTATTTTTTTAAATTCAAGCTACAGCACTTTTTGCTTATCCCTAGACTAATTAGTAACTTTGTTTTGAAGATTTATGACACTTTTAAATAGCAATTCACATGTTTGTTTAATTATTGTCTTATGCCATTTGTTTACATATAGTTTTTTCAAGTAATTAGTAACAAAAGAGGAAATTAATTACTGGGAAAAATTTTACTAGGAAATTATTTCTGTTCATTTTAATTGTAGTCTAAATTATTGATAAGATTTAAATACTTATTGTATATCTCAGTGTATAAGTCGACTCCTTATCTTTGACTACGAGAGAGTGGATGTCGAGTGTATAGGTTGACCACTTAAAAAACCAAGTATGAAAGTTTCTAAAATGAAAAAATAACTAAAATTATTAGGTCAACAAAATTTTCGAATTATCAAATGTAGTGTGGGATCTATGTTGACACTGCTAACATTATTTTTTTCCAAAACACATGATGTTTTTAATTCTTAGCTTTGTGGTATGATTTAAATTTCATTGTGTTATATTTTTTAAACACTCTTGAGTAAATTTATTTCACCTTTCTGATTCTTAAATTTTTTTCTCTTGGCATAATTTAACGTATTGTTTCTATAAAAAAAAAACAATTTATTTCTAAAAAAATTTTGATGAGAGAAAAAAAATTTCTTGTATATAGCATAATAAAATAGTTTTCAAAAAAAGATAAATTGATGCAGAGTTAGTTATTCATATCTATCTTATTGTTTATAATGCATCAATATTTCCCAACTGATAGCATTTGCTTTATTTTATAGTCAGTGTACCTGTTTATCATCCTTTCTTAATATTCTTTACTATTATTATGATTTGATTTCTATTATTTTCCCAAATTAAAGGCTTAAAAATAAGAGGGCATTCCTTTTTATAAAGTAATCCTGTACTATTACATTATTATTAAACATTTTATCAAAAAATATATTTAAAACAGTATGCAACTTAATCATTATGCCATTATTTTAATAATAAGTTAGTAATCTTTTATCTATGAATTTAATAAATAAATTATCTTTGCTTATATAATAAGCTTGATATGAAACAGTTTCCAGTTAAAATTTGCAATTAAAATATTAAATACAAGACTCTTATTAGGAATACTACACAACATTGCTTAACAATCTGTTCCGCAAAAAATATTTAAATAATATTATAGCAGACTGAAATTAAATGGGAATTAAAATGACTAAATTGTGGATTTAATTTCTATGGTAGCAAATGAAATCCAATAAGAAATTTGAATTTTATCCCAATTTGTGTCAAGAAATTAACTTACTTTACTAGTTTATTATGGGAAAAAGGTTTCATATTTTCATCGAAAACTATTTTTATTATTAAATTTCTAACTCAATTTACAATAAATAAAATTGCTATAAAATAGAGATTGGTTTAAATCTTGCTGTTCATCTTTCAAAGCATACTTTGTAATCTTCACTTAATCATTTTTTTTATGAGTTGNCATTTTTTTTTTTTTTTTTGGTTTGCAAAAATCTGATATATGATAATTTATAAAAACATTTTAAACTCAAAATAATCATCATGGAGTCTGAATTCATAAACTGTGTATAAAAATCAAAATAGCTATTTTTTTATTGGTATTGTTTTTAAAAAAAATAGATTTTTTTCACATTTAATCTAGTTGTTATAATTTAAATTAACTATGATTTTTTTAAAACGAATAATTTAAACCATCTGAATTTTTGTTAAAAAAATTATTCAGTCTATAATATTTTTTTTTACACTGAATCACTAATAAATATAATCTCAATGGTGTATATTTTTTAAATATCTGATTTCATTGATAGTGTGAAGGTTTTATACAAATAAATGATGAAAGGCTGAATTAAATTTCAAAATAGACTTTAAAAAAAAGAAGAAAATTCTAGAGTGATAGAGACTAAAAGTAAATAAGAGTGGGAGGAAACTTAATTATAATTTACCATTAGCAGTATGTAAAACAATTTGCTGGTGATAAACATATTTCAACTGCATTCTAATTAGTTTTTTTTTTATTATTTTAGTTTTTTTTTATACAAGTGCTTTTAAAACCTTTGAACATCAATGATGAAGATAGACTTGTTTTACGTAGAGAAATTTAAAATTAAATTTTTTTTTAAAGTAATGTTTTCTGATCTGAACTAATTTCCTCGGTTTTGGATATCTAATTGATTAATTTCCCCCTTGTCTTTAATATTCATAAGAATATTGAGCTTGAACAAAAATAACTTTTTTTTATTCAGTAATTAGTTTAATAATTAATTTTTTAGTTAAAAATATTAACTTTTTTATAATTATATTTTTTTAATAGCATTAACATAGCTGCCAACTCTACTAGATTTGGCTAGTTTCGTATGGTCTATTGGTTTAATAAATATTCTCCTGCTCTTTGAACATATTAAAAAACTCCCTAAAATTGTGTAAAATTTCCTTAAAAAAATCCCTATTGAAAAAGAATTTTTGCACCGATTTTTGCTTGCTTGACAATTTGAATAAGTATTACTAATATATGATGAAGCAAACCTCATTTATAGAAATCAGTTTAAAACTCTTTTGTTCTAAATTTTCAATTTATTTAATTATAAAATTTTAATATTAATAATCTTGAATTTAAAGAAATTATTAATATTTAATGAAAAAAAAATTGTACTTTAAAAAAAAATTATTTAACATTTTTTTTTTATTAAATTAGAAGATTTTTAGCCCTGGATTTGCCTGAATTGAATTTTCACATTGTAAAAATATCAATTTAGTTAATAAAGACATTTTTAATTTTTACATACATTTAACTCAATTTCATAATTACATTAGTTGGATATCCATGTTTTTTTAATTTTTTTTATTAAATTTTGGAAGAGTTCGTCTCTTTGTTTACTACAAATTTAAACAAAACTACAAATTCGTTTAACTCTGTTTATTTGATTAAAAATTGTATTTAAATAAATGTTTTTAGAAACATTAGAATTCCATGTAATTAGTTATTTATATTAAATTTAAAATAATTTATTTTTTATTGTGAAAAACAACAATTCAGATGTTTTCTTCTTTTTTAATACTTAAATTCAAAAAATTAAAATTTATGTAGTTATGATTACAAATTAAGATTAATTCCTCAGGGTAAATAATTTTTTATATATATATATACATACAGGGGTCTGTCCAGGCATTTTGGGAAAGGTCCGTTTTGGAAAATTGTGAAAAAAATTACTCGTGATGTGTGAATATAAAATAAACGTTAAGTTACATTCTTTCCACCAGGGTCCTGCTTTTGTGAATTTGTGCAAATAGGGTCCTGTTATTACAAAAAACTTTTTCGAGGAGTTTTTAAATTGTAAAGAGATACAAGATTATGCTCAACACTGTAAAATTATAATGAATAAAAAATAAATTTTGAAAAATAAACAGCAATTGCTGCTACTAAATTAGAAATGCAACATACAAATATGTGGTATTTACCCTATACTGCTGAACGCATATTCATTTCGGACGAATTAAGGAAGAAACGTCGGCCGAAGACAAAACTTAGTTCGTTTACATCTGTCTTTCTCTCCCCCCCCCCTCCCTGGGAAAGGGTTTATTCGATTAAAAAAACAATAATGAAGATAAACAAATTTGTGAAGGTTTCGATTATAAGATAAATTATTTTGTGAAGGGTCCGTTTTTATGAAAAGATATTTTGCGAAGGGTCCGTTAACGGACCCTTCCCAAAATATCTTTTCATAAAAACGGACCCTTCACAAAATATTTTAACTTAAAAACGGA